GCATATAAGTAACAATAATTACTTATAGTGTATTCAAATCCAAGCCGAAATAAACAAAAACGCCCAGACGCTTGATAACTCGTTCTTATTGGTCGATTGGGAGTCTGTTGTAAATTATTATTAAAGGTCCCAGGGAAGGCCCTATGTGAAATTTATGCGAAATTTTCAGTAAATTGCGAAACTTTCAATGAAATTTCTGAAAGTTTCACAGGCAATGTTGAAATTTTCAAATTGAAAATTTCATTTGAAATTTTTAAAAATTTCACTTTTCCAACTAAATGAAATATTTCAAGTTTGAAACTTTCAAAGTTTAAATTTTCATTTGAAAATTTCAACTGTTCCAACCCTATTCACCACTCGCTACAGGCCGTGCATGGCGAGCGGCGGGTCGCGAGAGATTGTTAGTAAGATCTGAACCGGCTCTCTGGAGCTAAGAACGACTCGCGCAGTACGTTTTGTTTTCTGTGATCCAGATCTGACAAAAACATCTCGATTCTCCAGGCGCGGCTCGATCATGACTGTTGAATCATGCAGCTTGCTAGTGCCTATGCCGGTGTATCGTTCGGGACCGAACTAAGTTAGGCAAATTTTGGTAATTTTTTACAAACCCACAGAAATATGAGATGATTTCCCTTATGTCAATGTCGTTTAAAATATATTTTGAATATTAATTAATTTAAATTGTGTAAACTTACGACATTTATGTTTTAAATATAACTTTTCATGTTAAATATTAAAATAGAGTTTTTATTGTTTTAAAAATTTTTAATTTAATGCAATACAATGTAATATTAAATAGCCTTTATAATATTATTAAAATAACAATTTGTATTGCCTTATAATATAATAAAGGCTTGGTGTTGTTTTGGACTGTCGTCATCTTAATTTTTTGTTTATTTCAACAAAAAATCAAGATGACGACAGTCCAAAACAACACCAATACAACCACTTCATCTACCAACACTAAATCAACATAATAAAGGCTCCTAAATATTAAAGTGATAAACATTTTTAACATAAATATAAAGTTTATGTGATCCGAATGATTCCATTAAATGATATTTTTAATTAATCTGAGATTCAAACGGTTCTTTTGAACCGGTTCGCTGAACCGGTTCACTCATGTGATCCAGATCCAGTGACCCGGTTCAAAAGAGTGACCCGGAACGCCCATCACTAGTACTGCCAGAGTTAAAATCTAGCCGCTTGTCTCCACAAATTATAAAATCAGTCACAAATAACCAGAGTGCAAAGGGTGCACTGCGCCCGGGCGGCAACTATCAAGGGGAGGCATTTTAGAAAATTTTTGTACAGATTTTGATTTTGAAACAAAATTAATTCATATCAAATGCGTAATGTAATAAGTTATTAATAATAACAGTCAAAATCTCAAACATCAGATGTTTATTAATTCTTTGTAAAATGCCGCTTATACCGCGGCGCGTGTCGAAGGGCGATGCTGCGGCAGCCAAATTAAAATCAAAGGCGGCCGCGCTAGAATTTTTTGCATGCATGTACAATAAATAGTCTTGGATTTTAACATAAAAACTATAGTCAATTGTTTTTTAACTTTTGGGTGCTTTACATGTTGTGAATGATTGTTTTTTACGTTAGGTGAATAAAAATACAAACTTTGATTTTTTATTGCCGGTGCTTATTTTTAATTCGGTAAGTTGCTTTTTAACATTTATTAATTTTTTAATTAAAATATTTATTTGTTATAGATGTCTGATAAGCGTAAACGTTTATCGGGTAAAACAAAATACATCTGATATTACTCAGTTCTTAAAGAAAAATGTTCAAGACATACCATCCACTTCCACTTGTAGCGATCGGGATAATAATAATAATAATAATAATAATAATAAACTTTATTATCCTGTAAGACCATTACATGGTATAGGACTAGTCAAGAGTACACATGTTTACAATTAAATACTAAGAATCACTAAAGAATAGTAAAATACAACATTAATAAAATTTGAAAATAATTTACAGTTACAAATAGCTCACATAAATAAAAACTCATCGCAGGTATAAAAACAGTGTTCCAAAAAATAATTTCCTACTTGTTTTTTAAATTTTTTTAAATTTAAAACTTCTTTAAAGGCAGATGGCAGCTTATTGTACAATTTTATTCCTATATAATTGGGATTATTCTCAAATTTTGCAGTTACATGAATTGGGATTCCAAGGTTGTTACGGTGTCTTGTATTATATTCATGATAATGACTATTACTATTGTAATTTCTTATATTTTTATGAATGTGACATAAGGTTTCTAACATAAATATGCAAGGAAGTGGCAACAACCTTAGATCTTTAAATAAATGTCTGCATGATGTTCTAACTGATACTCCCTTTATATTTCTAATAGCTGCCTTCTGCATCTTAAAGACCCTATGAGCATGTGAAGATAGACCCCAAAACATAACACCATAGGTAAGTCTGGAGACAAACTCACTAAAATAATATGTCCTGAGAACCTCCAAGCTCACAGTTACTCTAAGTCTATAAATAGCATAGGAAACTGATCCCAGCCTCTTACACAATACATTTATATGCTCATCCCAAATCAAAAATCTGTCGATATGTAGGCCTAGAAATTTTGTTTTTTCAACTTCTTCAATGGAATTACCACCAATTTTAAGTAAGAAACTGGAATCTTTATTTAATCTCCTCAAATGAAAACTTGTGAAAACAGTTTTTGAAACATTCAAATGAAGTCTATTTAAGTTAAACCAATCAATTGACAAGTTTAAATTATTTTGCAAATTATTTAAAACTTCATTTATTGTTTTTCCTGAGCTCACAAGAGAATTATCATCTGCAAACATGACAATATTAGTATTATTTAATATATCTGAAAAGTCATTTATAAATAAAAGAAAAAGCAGGGGGCCCAGTACAGATCCTTGGGGAACCCCTGTTTCTATGAATTTTGTTCTGGAGTAACAACCATTGACATGCACACATTGTTTTCTATTGGACAGATATGAAATAAGCCAATCCTGTATCTTTCCTCTAAATCCATAAGCCTCCAATTTATGGATAAGCAGAGCATGATGAACTAGATCAAATGCCTTACTCAAATCCATAAAGAGACCAATGCACTTTTCAGAGTTATCCAGTTTTTTATATAAAATATCAATAAAATCCATAATCGCAGACTGTGTATTTAGGTTTTTACGAAAGCCATGTTGAAATTTTGATAAAACATTAAACTTTTCCAAAAACATGTACATTTGATTAAACATAACCCTTTCTAGTATTTTGGAAATAGTTGATAAAATGGCCACTGGGCGATAGTTACAAACATTTGATTTATCACTTTTTTTGTGTAAGGGTATTACTTTTGACAATTTTAATATATCAGGAAAAATTCCATTTGAAATTGACAAGTTAATTAAAAAAGACAAAGGTTCAATAATAGAATCTAAGCAAAGATACAGAATCTTTGAGTTAATGCAATCCATACCTGCAGAATTATTTCTTTTTAAATTTATAATTATATTGAATACTTCTAAATAAGATAACGGTCTGCAGAACATAGTGGGGTATTTATTGTTATTAATTTTATAATAATCTATTTTTTCTACAAATTTTTTATTTAGTGTTTTTGGTAAGTTAATAAAATATTCATTAAAATAATTTGCAATTTGGTTTGAATCCGTTTCTGATAAGTTATTTATAGTTATGTTTTTTATATTGTTGTTTACATTTTTTGCATTACCTGTAGTATAATTTACAACGTCCCAGATTGTTTTTGATTTATTACTAGAATTGTTAAACATTTTATCAAAGTACATCTTTTTGGCTGCAACTATAACTTTTTTGTATATCAATTTATATTTTTTATAATTTATCTTATCATTTGCTCTTTTGGTTTGAATCATTATTTTGTATAGTTCTTTTAACCTTATAGATGAATTTTTAATCCCCTTAGTAATCCAATTTCCTTTTGAAACGTTACAATTTATGGTTTTTATTGGAAAACAAACATCAATATAATATTTCATAGTATTAATAAATGAATCAAAAGCATCATCAACAGAACTTGCAGTATAGACTTCATACCAATGTTCATTTTTTATCATATTTGAGAATTGAATTTTTGAAAAATTTGTATAAGATCTTTTAGATTTCTTTTCCGATTTATTAACTACAAAATTTAACGAAATGACTTGACTAGTGTGGTCAGAAAGGCCATTTGGAATAACTTGACATTTAACATTATCCAACGGAATCCAGTTTGTGCAAACATAATCAATACAAGATGATCCAGTATCATAATATCTAGTTGGTTCATTGCAAAGCATTTTTAAATTGTATGAACATAATATATCATTTAGATTATTTTTCAGGACACTATTCTCATTAAAATTAATATTTAAATCTCCACACAAAAAAATATTACCCTTCCTACAAGACTTATTCAGTAATAATCTCAGTTTATCAAAAAATATATCGGTATCTCCCAGTGGAGACCTATATAAACAAATTAATTGAAAACATATATTAGGTAGTTTTATTTCAATACCACAAAACTCAACATCTTTATCAATAGATATATCTTGAAAATTAATTTCATTAATATAATCTGAATACTTATGTTTATGAAATATAACCACCCCTCCATTTTTAAAGTTTTTCCTACAATATATGGAGGCCATAGTATACCCTAGTATATTAATACACCCATAATTAATGTCGTTCAGCCAATGCTCAGAAAAACAGACTATATCAATTTTTTCGTTATGCAATAAAACTTCCAATTGCTCAATTTTATTTCGAATGCACTGTATATTTTGATGTAATATTTTAAAATTTATAGGATCATTTTTCTTTAATTGCTATTGGTCAATTGGACGCTTTATTTTTTGTTTTTCAATTTCAATTTTCTTTAATAGAACTGCACAATTATAATTAAAAATATAGTGGTTAACATCGAATTTCAGGTCTTGTTTCTTGTTTACTTCTACACAATTAAAACATTTTACCGAATTATTATCACAATCTTTTGTTTCATGATCCACCGAAGTACACTTTAGATATCTTTTTTCCGCAGTACACTTTTCACCATGATGATTAAATCCCCCACATTTAAAGCATCTAAATACTTTAACATATTCAAATACTCTACAGCTTGCCCAATTCACATATAATACTTTGTCTTCCATGATCTTCTTATAACTTTCGTTATCACATTCAATGATAGCCATATATTTTGTTTTCATTTTTTTATTAACAACAATTTTTAGGTTCGAATTCTCTAAAATTTTATTTTGTTTCCTTAAGTATTCTATTAGCTCTGTATCCTCAAATTTATCCTCTATATCTATTATTTTTATTGTTGGATTATGTAGTTTGGGAAGTTTTATTTCGTAATCTTTTAAACATTCTTCAGCAGCTGATTTGATTTTATTAGCATCTGATTTTTTATTGCAGTGAATAGCAACACCACCATTTTTAATATCTTTTATACTTTGTATACCAATTTTTAATTCAGCTGGTAAAACATTTTTTCGAACTTCTTCACGTGTTACATCACAATTTTGAGCACCCTTTGGTTTTATTATAACACAGTCTCCAGCAGCCTTAGCATACGTATTATTAATAATTTTAGAAGAACTAGCATTAATTCTTTGGGGAACAACATTTCCATTACATTCTTTTAGTGTTTTTATTTCATTTTCCAGTTGGGATATTTTTTCATATAGTTTTTCATTTTCCTTCTTAATAATATCTCTAATTAAATCAGCAAATTCTGAACTTCTTAAGAAATTAAGAGCCATAATTGCTAATATTGATATTTATTTAACATCACCGTACTCGGGTAGGAATATAATACCAGCCCTAATGTTAACGTTTATTTTCACTTGACAGTATTTATATACCTTTATTTTAGCTTTTAGCATACAATTTTTTTCCGTTTAGGTTTTTAAATGTGATCAAAGCACTTACATTAGCATTTTTTCAAAATATGATCTTCTTTAATATCACTTTAAGTTGGATTCAACACTTCACTTTATAGCACGCTGTAACACCTTCGACCGTTGGTCTAATTGTTTGTGATGACCAGATACAACATTTTGAATTGGCGAACCGAACAGAAAATCCACCAACCGAAATTGGGGTAGAGGTTAATACATTCACGGATTCCATGGAAAGTGACGGTAAACTTTTTAATATTGTAATTGATTCTGATCCAAGTGCATGGTATGCTAGTAGAAAAGGATAACCTACTAAATAAGAAAACAACTTATCCCAAAGACGCTAGCACTAGAAGTTTTTGAAATAAATATTTTTTAAAAACTTTACCTTGGTTAACATATTCTAAATTCCCTTGTAAGTTATTTGGGAATGCATCTAGTTCTTTGGGGCTAGATGGATTTCGAGATTGGCAACATTTATCGCGAACCTTAAGCCGACATGAAAGTTCTAATGATCATATTAAATGTGGCAACAAAATGATTTAATTACAAACTTCATTAAAGTGTGGCTCAACAATAGATTATTTACAGGAAAAACTAATTAACAGTGAACAGAAAAGATGGTGTTCTGTTTTAGAAAGAATTATATCGGGTGTTAAATTTTTAGCTAAGCAAAACATAGCTTTTAGGGGTAGTTAGGGTAACGTTTTGCAACTTATGGAAGCGGTTTCTAAATTTAATTCAGTTATAGCCGAATATATTCAAATAATTCAAACAAGCGAAAATTATATGCCTCATTATTTGGGAGAAAAAATTCAAAATCAAATAATCACAATATTTTTTCTGCCCACGAGACCTATCCGCGGACCATATTTTTCCCAAGGCCCAAGTCCACTTTTTTCGATTTTTTCGTCAAATTTGGCACGTTCCGTTGTATTCGCTTAACTTTCGAACGAGCGGAGATTTTTCGGCCAAACTCGAGGAAAAGGTGCTTCGGGACAAGAAGTTATCACCAACTGCATGCGCTTTCTTCTTTTTATGTAAGGAGCTCCTAAAAAACTACCTGCTTTGATAAGTATCGATATGCATGTTTCGTTAAAAATTCTAAAAGTAAAAAACAAGTTCAATTAGCTTGTCTTCCTCCAACCTCAATTGCTGCTCATCAACATCTTTTTCGGGTATATTACTAAGTTCAAGTGTGGCTTGGTTATCAGCTACACCCTACAAACTGGGGTTGGAAGTTGGTCAACAACACATTAGAACAAGTTCAAACTTTACAATTGTTCGCAATTGCAAAAAGGGATGCAGTGCTAAATGTGGTTGCAAAATTCATTTTATTGACAATAAACAAAAGTACCTTTATTTTAGTTTAAGGTTCAAGCTATGCAGATTTAGTTTTTTTAAGTCTTTGTCATACGGGGTGTTCAAAATTTAAGCATTAAAAAGTAAAACTTAGTCCGCCCCTGGTAAACAAAAAAAGCAAAACATGTTTCAATGGCACTATTTTAAGAGGTCCTTACCAGGGTCCATCATATTAAATTTTTAATAAATTATATTTAGTACTTTAAAAGTTATTCAAGGAAAACCAATTTGCAGGGGAGTCCTTTCGGGGCCCATGTCTCCGTAAGGATGGCCAGTAGGAAAAAAATGTATAGGAACGTGTCATCTTATTTTTTTATGTTCTATCTGAATCCGAGAGATTTCCCACATTTTCCCGGACACCCTGTATATAGTTATGGAAAATATATTGTCTAATTTCTAACCAGAAACCTTTTAACATTATATGGCGATCCTGCCAGTGCCTCTTTGTAAAAGAGAAAAAAAAGTAGTGATGCACGAGTGAAAAACATTGACAGTCCAAAAATAGTGAAAGATGTGTAGCTTAAGACAAGCACAAGCCAAAGAAGAAATTATAATTGCCCAGTCAGGAAACAGTGGAGGTCAAACACTAGGTATTGAGCAGGCAATGAACCATCAGAATTATCTCCTAATTGGTCTTCTTGTTTTGATATTTTTGGTCTTCATCTTTTACTTATACGAGAGACGGCAAAGACGTTGGCGTCAGAAGGTCCAGAGAGCAGCCCTAGGAGCAACCGCTATGAGTATGGAGAAGTTGGATGGATAGTGCTGTGAAAGTGTTGGGTGAAGCATAAGTGTTGTTAGTTATAACTTAAAAGTAAAGAGACGTTAAAAAAAGTTAAATAACCATGGGATGTCCGACCTGCGAGACTTCGAAATTCTTTTAGAGGACATCAAAGGTTTCCACAAAAATTTGGGAAAAGACTCTATTGAGAGGAGAAACAATGAAGATATAACCGGCCGTAAGTTAAAAACATTAAACGAATTTAAAGAGAGATTAAAACGTTCGATTAAAAATTATAATAAGCTTAGGCATACAGTAATTGTAACAGAAGAAGCTAAAAAACTAAATGAAAAAATTAAAATAGAATTATCTTCAGCAAAGTCATTGTTAGAGAGTAGGATTAGTTTTAAATCAGGTCAATCTAAAGAATCGCCTCATTCTTCTCAGAGTGTCACAGAGAACAGTAAATTACAACCGAAAGACGAGTTATACCGAGTTAGAAATATTAGGTATTGAAAATAATCCTGTTGATATAGTTATGGGGGAAGAGTTTAATTTTAAAACCGCAGCTGGCTTGCTGCCGTTGATGAACGGTAAGGAAAATGTGACTAAACAACTTATAGATTCTATCGAGTTATATGACAGTTTATTAAATGCAGCAGGTAAAACACTATTAACAACATATGTGTTAAAAACGCGTTTGTCAGAAAATGCGAAACTGCGATTGAAAGCCACGTACGACACAAATCAGGCACTTATAAACGATATTAAAACGCATTTTTTGCCAAAAAAATCGGCATCGACGCTGTCCACAAAATTAAATTCTGCTAGACAAGGAGGCAGATCGGTAGAGCAATTCGGGCAGCTCATAGAAGAACTTCTTGTCGATTTAACAATTGCACAAGCGGACGGCGACGATGCCGCTGCCCAAGTTTTAAGGGTGGCAAACGAAAAAATCGCATTAAACACATTAGCAAACGGATTAAACAACAATGATCTAAGAACGGTAGTTAAAGCTAGAAATGATCCCGCGTTAACAGAGGCTATTCAAGGAGCAATAGATGAGGATGTAGGAAAGCGAGATTCGCCTCACGCATTTTTCATGCGAGTTTACCGTGGTACGCGGCTAGGTCGTGCTCTAAACAATCGTGGTTCGGGTACGCGCCCATTCTCAGGGCAGTCAACATCTTCTAATCCCCAATATTATCCTAATTATAACTCAAGACAATTTAATGCGACTAGGACGTTTCGAGGAAATCATTCGGGACGTTTTAATAGTAATCGTCAAGGTTGGTCAAACCGGCGCGGAAATTTTAATTTTCGGGAAAACCGTAACCCATCCCGAAATAATGCAGTATTTATGCAAACGGTTAACGATGAGCCCACACCTGCTTCAAATCAAACTCAAAATCAATCACTGGATCTGTTTTTTCGAGGCTTCACTCAAAACAACTGATTCGGCTGTAATTCTAAATTTAAATGGCCTTCATTTTGTAAAGTTATCTTATAACGCTACAGAGTTAAGGTTTTTAATTGATACCGGGGCATCAGCTAGTATAGTTTTTAAACAAGCTTTAAACATAAAACAAACAATAAATAAAAATAAAGAAATTCGAATCTCAGGTATCTCTGGGTCAACTGTGTCACGGGGATCAGCAGTTCTCCCATTTCAATTAGATAATACAAAGCTTAGTCATGAGTTTTTAATTATTAATAGTTTTGAAGAAGGAATGGATGGAATTTTGGGGTCAGATTTCTTTCATAAGTATTTTGCTCCAATTGATTATTGAAAAATATTCGGTTTCCTTTCTGGTAAAGAATCAAAAAGTGATTCTTCCTTTAGAATCTCAACACAATTTTTATACTGTAGTACCGGCGCGTTGCGAATTTATTACACATTGTAGAATAGAACAGGATGGAGATTATGTTATAATACCAGATCAGTTGTGTGAGGGTAGTCTAGCAGGTAGTCTAGCACGAGCTCGTAATAATATAATTCCTGTTAGGATTCTTAACGTACGCGAGCAAGACATTAAATTGAAAAATTTTTGGCCCAAGACGGATTACACTTCCAATTACAAAGTAATTAATCCTTTAGAGGGTAATTCTAAATCGGTAAAACGCATAGAGAAATTATTACAGACCATTGATACAACGCACTTAAATTGCGAAGAACGGAATTCAATTCAACACGTTTGCGCGAAATATGCCGACATTTTTCATTAGAAGGAGATCCTTTATCGGTGACTAACATATATAAACAAAAGATCCATTTACGGAAAAATGCGCAACCGTGTTATAAAAAACCGTATCGTTTACCTCACGCTCAGAAAACCGAAATTCAACGGCAGGTTGAACAAATGTTGGAAGACGGAATTGTGGAACCAGCAGTTTCAGAATGGTCTGCACCTATTCTTATTATACCCAAAAAACTTGACCAAAGCGGAATTAAAAAATGGCAGCTTGTAGTCGATTACACATTTTTAAACGAACAGATTCAAGACGATAAGTTTCCGTTTCCAAATATCACAGACATTCTCGACTCATTGTCAGGCGCAGTATACTTTTCTCATTTGGATTTGTCGCAGGGATATTACCAGATTGAGTTAGAGCCGGAGAGTCGGCCTTGCACTGCGTTCACTACAGACCGAGGACAATTTCAAATAAAAAGATTGCCAATGGGTCTTAAAATTAGCCCTAGTACATTTTCCAGAGCGATGACTGTAGCTTTATCGGGACTTACTTACGAAAATTGGTTATCTACTTAGAGGACCTAATT